CTTTCTTTCTTTCTTTCTTTCTTTCTTTCTTTTTTTCTTTCTTTCTTTCTTTCTTTCATTTCCTTTTTGGGTGGGTGAGCGGCGGGTCTGCTACTTCAATATTATTCATTTCAGACCGATTCTGGTAACCTTATTTTTTCATAGAATCCTCAGGCAAGCTAACGGTATGGCTGATTCCAAACCAGCAGATTTTTTTTTTTTTTATTACTTTGTTGTGGTTTTTTTCTCACGAATAATGAGGGATTGTTGACCAGCTGATCTGAAAATGTGGAGAATATTTTTTGGTTTTGCTTTGCTTGCTCTCGGCTCTTCTGCTAGCAAAGATTAAGAATGTTTACCAGCCCTTGAATAGGGTATTGTGTCACCCTTGGAGAGCAAACAAATCAAGAAAAAGCTGGGCAACGGGAAAAATACGTAACCAGCTTGGCTTCTAGGGGAAGGCTATTTTGAGAAACAATTCTTGGATTACTTTCATTTGCAAAGGTCATACAGAATTCAGGAGGTGAGGCAACTGCTTCTGCTCAACCAACACACTTTTTCCTGGCCTCGTGAACAATGTTAGTATATGCAATTTCTGTACTGCCATCTTGAAATCCTAACGCAGGCCATGAGATTTTCTATTTATGTGCTATCTGATGTTACTGGAAAGCTGTTTGGTTGACTTTGCAAAGGACTGTAGCCTGCTCTGAGTTCTTACCTAAGAAAGAAAGAAAAAGATGCATTTTTCAGATCATGTTATCTAAGGAAGAAGGGCAATTTCCTAAAAAATCCATGGGGAAAAATGTAGATTTTTCCAATTTCCAGTTTCTGGGTGTTGGGGATTTGTTAAGCATGTTGCAATTTCTCTGACATTTGTTTAATGGATCATTTCTCATTGCTTGTGTTTCTCCCTTCAGATTATCAGTAGAAATGTTCATAACTGTTCTTCATGGAGGTAAGTCACCACCTGGTCTTTGGCTTCTGTTGTATTATAATTATATAATGTATAAGAAAACAGATCTGTGTCTGTTTCAAGACAGCAGCAGGCTTTCCTCAAGATGCTGGGCCATATAGTACCCAGTCTCATTTTATCTAGGTCTAGCCTGTCAAGCGAACCCATAACTACTATATCACTGCAGGAATCCTCAAAATTATTGAGGTTCACAACTTACATGTTACTTTACTGCACGTACTACTAACGTGATTACTGTTCATTGTGGTTGCTAGTCATTTGGGCTGATGTTCACTCAAAAGTTGGATAAATGTTGTGATCTTTGCTTTTAAATGCAACATTTATTTGGCTTCCTTCTTAGAGAACAAGGCTGATCTTTTCAATATACACTGTAAAATCCAGATTCTGCTAGATGGCATTAAACACCACTGTGGATGTGAAGATAAAGGTGAAATTGTTATAAAATAATATACATAATCTAAAATTGTGGTTGTATTGAAACAAAATAACCTGTCCCACCTGGTCAGGCAGAGAAGGTATGTTACGGATCCCATCTATGAAAGAATGTTGACTGGCAGGGCCCAGGGGGAGAGCCTTCTCTGCTCTTGCCCCCACCCTATGGAACACTCTTCCCCTAGAGGTGAGGTGGGCCCCCCACACTCCCAGCCTTCCAGAAAGGGGTGAAGACCTGGCTCTGCCAACTCGCTTGGGGCAATAAAGGATACAACCAACCCTGGGGGTGGCTAGCATCTTGAAGATGCTCCCCAAGTCTCATAATTCCTATTTAACATCAGTTCCTTGGAAGATATTTATTATTTATATAGGAAGTCTTGTTATAATGTATTTTAATTAATATTTATTCTATTTTAATTAATATTTATTCTTTTTACTGTAAACCGCCCAGATCGCTCTGCAGGGAAATGGGCGGTGACAAATTTGAAATATAAATACATAAATAAAAATAATAATAATGAATTTCTTTGAAGTCATTATACATTTCCCTGTTCTATCATGCATAAAAGATCATCAGGGACTTGTATGAAATACAATTGATACATTTCTGAAAAAGGAACAAGGAAATAGAAGTTGTACGTGTAATTCCACCAGAGAAATTGAAGAAACTTAAGTGCACTTGTTTTAAACGATATTTACTTTGGTCAGAAAGAACGAGAAATCTATGAGGGAGGGGGGGAAATTTATATCAGCTACTCAGCTTGTGGGTAAATTCTTTTTTTCAGATGAAATAGAGTTAGCAGATGAGAGTGGTCAAGTCAAGAACTTACTCCAAAACAAGCATCACTATGCAAACGAACTTCTGGGGGAACGAGAGACTTATGTGCTCCTTAGTGTCACGAGTAAGTGATGTGCTTTGAATTTCTGCACAGGCAAAAGAAGGCCATGTGCACATGTCAAGCTGCAGACACACTGCTCAGTCTCTCCACAACTTAACCCTAGAACCAAGAACATACCCTATTCTGTATTCAGAATAATTGTATGTGGATTGGACTCGCTGTATACTTAAACCACATCTCCTTCAAATTGACTCCAGTTCCTAGTAATTCAATGATCACATTCATGAGGCTTTCTCAGCATGACATAGGAATGGTTGACCACTGCTGGTATCCCTGGAGGTATTGGACTACAATGCCCAGAATTCCTAGCCAAGATAATTGGAATGTGTGGTAGCACGCAGGAGGCTGCTCTCTTGCCATATGACCATGTAATATGAGTATCAATGTTTGGCTGGCTGGGGATACTGGGTTTAGTGATACCTTGAAGGCCACACACCATACACTGATGAACCATCCAAAGATTGGACTGAGATAGCCTTCTCTCGGGTTGTAGTAATGACTGGTAGAAGGAGAAGTTTTCTAGCAATTACAGGCCAGGCCAACATAAGGAACAATTTGTCCTCAGAACTCTGGATTCTCTTATACTAGATGTCCTTGATACCTTAACCTTGATGCTCTGTTATTACTGAAAAGCATATTCAATGCAAAAAAAATTGGGGTCTTCAAAATCAATGATCCATGCTCCAGAGAAAAGAACTACAAGCGTGTATGCCAGAGCTCAATCAAACTTTATAAGCACTGGGTACCATCCAAGTGCAATGTGAGTTGCCTTATATATTTATGTTTAATTGTTGACAGTCCACTATGCCAGTTGTGATTCTGGTGCTTCAGGTTATATTTTGCCCTTCCATATGCATTTATCAACTTTTTCAAAGAAAGAAAAAAGAAAATTGTAGAAGGAGCTAGATAATGTGGAATGTAAGCAAGTTTATTAATGCTTTAGGGATTATCTCTAAAGGAAGTGGGCAACCAGATTTAAAATACTGGACATATTCAGATAAGAAGATATTGCCATTTGAAAAAAAAAATGTATTCAAAAATACTTTTCAGTTTAAGAAGAAGATCCTGATTAGCTCACCTTAGTCTGATTACTAGATTACTATTTTGTTTCCATCTTCATGTTAATTGCTTTCTTACCACAGGTGGAGAAAGACCTTCAGAGATAGAATTTAGGCCACTGTTGAAGGATGAGCACATCATTAACCCAAAGTTCCTAGGTCAGTAAACAAATTAGCTTCCATTTGTCAGTGAGATCAAAAATTATCCTGAACATGAAACAGAGAAAAAAACTGCATTTCAGTTCTATATTTTACACATGAGATGTGTTGTAAAACACAGCTGTATACATATCTTTTGATTTTCATTTTCCTTTCGTTCAGTCTTCGAGTTGTTTAATTTCTTTACTTTTTTTACATGGTAATGTATATTTGACATCTTTATTTAGAAATGTGATTTTTTTTTCCACTCTCCATGCCTTTATTCTGACTTTCACTTTTAATGTCGGTGAGAGGCAGAAGACTTTTTAAAAAATGGGGAACTTTTTAATGTGATTATTCGAAAATTGGTTGCACAGAGATCTCAGGAAAGAAGTTTATCCCCAAAGAGAAATGTAATAATATCTTAAAACTGAATAGCATCAAATGAGTGTGTTCTGCCAATTAGAATTTCCTCTTCTTCTTCTTCTTCTTCTTCTTTTTTTTTTTTT